TGGTTGGGCTTAGATAGGCCTTGCATGAAATGCCCAGTTAGGACCCACATAAGATCCTTACAGAGCCCACTTTAAGCCCATAGGGGCATTCACGGTTGAATCCTGGTGCAAGCCCACTTTAAACCCCTTTAGGTAGGTGGGGCCCAAATGGGTCTGACATTAATTACCCAGTTAAGAACCACATAAGACCCTTACAGGTCCCACTTAAAACCCATCTGGGCATCCACGGCTGGCCCCCTGTGTGGATCCTGGGTACAAGCCTATTTTAAATGCCCTTTAAGCAGGTGGGGCCCAAATGGGTCTGTCATGAATTGCCCGGTTAAGATCCCACATAACACCCTTATAGATCCCATTTAAAGCCCATCTGGGCATCCACGGCTGGATCCTGGGTGCAAACCCACTTTAAACCCCTTTTGGGCAGGTGGGGCCCCAATGGGTCTGGCATGAATTTCCCACTTAGGACCCACATAAGACTCTTACAGAGCCCATTTAAAGCCCATCTGGGTAACCATGGTTGGATCCCGGGTGCAAGCCCACTTAAGACCCATTTGGGCAGGTGGGGCCCAAATGGGTCTGACATGAATTGCCCAATTAAGACCCATGCAGTACCCTTACAGGTCCCACTTTTAGTACGTCTGGGCTTCCACAGCTTGCCCCAATGTGGATTCCGGGTGCAAGCCCATAATGGGGCCCACATTTGCTGTCCATCAAGCCCTCATATGGGCCCCACATGTCATTGCTGGCTGGGGTAGGGGGCCACAAAATATCACCCCGCGGGCCGCGAGTTTGAGACCACTGCCCTAAATAGTATTGACAATTACTAATGTCACATACTATTTAGGATGGATAGTATGCACATTGGGACGCAGCTATGGGCATATATACACAGAACTAACAAGGTGACGGGAAACAGCTGAGTGCAATAATCAGATGAGTGACAGAACAGAATGCTGGGAATTGTAGTCTAATGTGAATGACACCGTGAGAACGAGGACCTCTGTGATAACCCAGGGAAACACAACCAGACACTGTGACACAGAGTATCTTTCAAATGGTATGCAAAATTGTAAAATGTATTTCTTTGGAATTATTATTAATGAAATAATTAAAGGGGATTAACCAAGCAGTCTTCCAATTATCATTATCAATATTCGAGTTCCAAAAAAAAAACTCCTCTAGGTGCTATTTTATTTTGTATTTGAAATATTGTACAAATGTGTTTATTATTGGATTTTTTATCAATCAATTCAATGCCATTTAAAAGTTCAACTCTGTGAACACTGACTGTACAGGATACAACACAATGCATACAACATTATGTTGCATATGTTAGCACGCACAGACATATGCACACTTTTGTGTTCTTGTATTGTGAAATGTGTCTAGACTCTGTTTTATAGTGATTTCTATCTACTTAAGCCCATATCTTATCTCATGTATGGGATGTATTTATTGTATGTATTTTAATAGCTATACATTTTCAACTCAATACTCTGTCATTTCTGTTTTAATTGTATAAGCCTAACCAGGGACAGGGGTTGCAAATTAGTCATGGTTAGAAACCTGTATGCATGGCATCTACTTTGTATTCTTTATAAAGCAATGTTTTATGCATTTGTCCCTGTCAAATAAACATTAAATAGTAATAAATAAATTGAATATGACTTTTGATAGGATGAATCAGAGTAGGGGAAATAGCTTTAATGGCAGAATTAAATTCTTTAAAATGCACAGGAAAACTATGGATTCGCATAAATTGTTCGTATGTTAAAATATAAAATATATCTTTAGTCAAGAGCAGTGAGTAATTTTCACTGATCCCTTTGTTCTTTGGTTAACTTTACTGACAGAGAGAATGAGTGGCTGCTGTCACTTTAAGACCAGCTGACATGATCTCACATCTCATTCTCTCAATACTCTTTACTTTCATTTAAGATTTTATTTAACTCATTTAAGACTGTTCTTGTGAGGATACTCGACAAAACGGACATTTTGGCATAAATGTGTGTGTTATTGTTTGTTCAAGCACGAAAGATAACTCGATACTGGCGCGTGTCTTTCTGTGTGTCAGGAGGACATTCACTGTAGACATAAAGTATGATTATCCTGACCTGAGCTAATTTACTGAATCAACCAACTCACATCTCCTTTCTTTCTTTTCATCCATGATGATATTGTCACCTGTCGTTGTGTCTGGCGTTTCATCGCTGTCTGTGCCGCAACCGCTATAACGTTACCTGCTCATTAGTTCACTTCAGTGAGCTAACGCTATTTTCCACAGGCTCCGTCCTGCTCCTCCGTGGCAATGACGGCATGCGGTTAAAAATAATAACAAACGAATTTGAAAGTGGGGGGGACACAAACGGGATTTTGAAAAGTGTAGGAGGACATGTCCCCCCTGTCCGCATAGGAAATTACGCCCGTGGGTAGGACATCATCCCTAGGCTTCATGAACTTGCGCTCCATGCTTTCAGCGGCGACGCTAACGTGACATATGATCTCAATCACACTGTTGCCAGGACCCGCCCTGCTCTGCTTCTGATAGGCTTGTAACGTGTTAGAGCTGCGTTCCTCTCATATGATTGGTAGGTGAAATCAATTGACTCGAAAATATTAAACCGCATGCAAGTTCCCAAACATTTTTTTCTTGTTTTTCTTCACAGCCGATATTAATAGAGCTGCATCATAGAGCTGCATACAGTTATTTTTTCTTCGCTGTCGCTCTTTGGCGCCCCCAGGGGAGGCGCGCCTCACCTATTGAAAACTGCTGCTCTATACTAACCTGTACTCATCTGAACAGTCTTTTAAACTCATAATACAGCACTTATGTCAATGAATAATTTTTGTATACCTTCTTTGTACACAAATACATGTAAATCTGAAGTGCATTCAAGCTATACAAGTGTGTAAAATGCTTGTAGCGAGCAGGACGAGGCCGAGGGCCGTGGGAGAACAGCGTGAGGCCGGTGGCGTGATTGATAATGATTGACACCTGCGCGACGCACCGGTCTCGTATCTCTCACAGAGGAGCGGAAGCAAAAAAGGAGGAACGACGACAGTGAAGAGTAGTAGCACTGTAGCTTTACTCCTACGTCCTGAAAAAAGACTCCATATACAATTTAATCCCTACAAATGTGTAAACCCCAAAGACTCTCAAGCTTCATGCTGCAAAGCATTCTGGGAGCTACCATAGTATAAAACTCATCCACGGTTCCCAGCATGCATTGCGACAAAGCATGTCACCATTGTCGAGATTCATATGCTGATTCTTGATGTCTGTGTGGGTCTAAATATGGAAGTAATTCAAAATATGCACAATGTGTTTAATAAAAGCATCTGATTACCACAACATTTGATCTCTTGTTATAGTTTGACAGTGTTTATAATGCAATATGTATGTGCATTTGATGATCTAACACACTTTTGTAATACACCTTGGGATGAGATATGTGATCCAGGATAGTCAATGATGATTATGACATCATCCATTAATACCCATCAGATCATACCCATCACACCCTCTTTTAGCCATAACGACAGTGTCTTAAAACAGTGGTTCCCAACCCTTTACGTTTTCTTTGTCTCCCTAATCAAACACACCTGATTCAACTCATTAGCTCATAATCACATGGGTTAATGAGCTGATGAGTTGAATCAGGTGTGTTTGATTAGGGAGACAAAGAAACCGTGCAGTGTGGGGGGGGGGATGATTTATTGAAAACACTTGGATTATATTCTTTTCAATAAATCATCAACATCTAAACCTCTGTTAATTCTCAATAAGACGTATTGAGATTCTGTAGACGAATGACAGAAATAAAGTCAATCTGGTTAGTAATGAGTGAAGCTGGTAATGCTGTTTTTGTTGTTTAGTCCTCCTCTGCTGAGATCTTGAGAGATCTGTTAGTGTTTAATGATCTGTTGGGATTTAAAGGGTTTCTTAAGAGTAGAGCATGTGCTTCGGTCCAGGAGAAGACCAAGAAACACTGATGATATTCTGCATGTTGCTTTATTTAAAACTCAGTTCAGTTTCAGACATGCTCATTAAGTATTTGGGGTTTAATAAATACAAATAAGTGCACAGTCTATCAGTGTCCAACACTTTTATGTCTTCGTATTAGTGACTTACAACTTTGAGTAAAACCTCCTTTTTCCACATGTTTTCACACTCATCTAATGACATTTTACAGTGTAAATATATTGTAAATTTACGAAAAGCAACAATTCCTTATGTATTATTCAATATATTGTAATATATAGCACAATATAGTATTTCATATATTTTTCAGTATATTTATTACACCATATTATATATTGATGATAAATATGTGGAAACATATTTTTGTTCCGTAAGGGCATATGGACACATGTGTGACTTCAGAAGCAATAATAAGAGAGTACAGCATTAATAGAGATTTGAGCTGTGGATCATAAGTTATTTAATTGTGATTTGTGATGTTCCTCATTAGCTAGTTGCTTTTGATTAAAGCAGCTGCTAAATGACATTACATGATTGTGACAGCAGAGTAAATCACTGATAAGACTATTGTTGTTTTGAAATCATAATTAAACATGAATACTTTGTCCGGCCTGTGTAATTGACGGCCCTACTTAAAGGTGAACAAAAGCAATATTGGGGAAACATTGGTTGGATTTGTAAGTTAGTGATCCTCAATGTCTAAAGGACGTTCAAAGAATGTTTTCTGCCAACATTTTGAGAACATTCATCAAATAACAACAAACAATGTATAATGTTTTGTGCTAAGCTTTTGAGAACATTATTAAAGACCAGATAACGTTGAACAAACTATTAATGTTACTAGAAGAACGTTTGTTCATAACTTTGAGAGAACCTTGCCAGAACGTTGGCCAAAGTTATGAGAACAATTCCCTGTAAACTGGGTATTTATTTAGTCAATCTGGGCAAGTCATATATAAGTTTAATTTATATAGCACCTTTCCCAAGCCCAAGGACGCTTCCCAATAGCAGTAAAGAACAGTCAGTTCATTGATGATAAACGGACGGTAGTTGCCTCTTCTGCATGTCTGAGAGACAGCACAGGAGCGCTGGACTCGGTGGAGCCCCACTCTGCAGGACTGCGGTACCTCTTCTGCTCCAGCGGGTGACAGGGCTCGCTGTATCCGGGACCCTCGTAGAGCTGCCAGACGCCTCTGCGCACCTCACAGGAGAGGACCTGTCTAATGCCGCAGCGCTCCAGAGACGGGCACGCGCTCGCTGCCTCTACACCCATCCTGATCCCAGACCACAAGCACACACTTGTAGAAGAAGAGAGAAGACAGCATGTTTCTTTGTATGAGACAGCAAATAGAGCCATCAAAACACTTGGATTACGAACAATGTCGTTGTACAGTTCTTTCTGTGTGTGTGTGTGTGTGTGTGTGTGTGTGTGTGTGTGTGTGTGTGTGTGGGTGGGTGAAATTCTGCAGGACTGACGAATAAAACACACACCTTGCCGAGGCGCCACCATTTGAAGCACTCCTTAGCGTCCTTCTCCTCCTCATCAGAGCTTTCTGTGTAGTAAACCCTACCAACATATTCAGTGAACGCCTCAGGCATCAGACTGGACACCTGCCGATACAAGTGAAAGCAAACACATGTTGATCAGTAATTATAGATCTATAGACCCAGGAAACTTGCTTTGACTTGCCCAGATTGACTAAATAAATACCCAGTTTACAGGGGATTGTTCTCATAACTTTGGCCAATGTTCTGGCAAGGTTCTCTCAAAGTTATGAACAAACGTTCTTCTAGTAACATTAAGGCCTCGTTTACACTGCAGGTCTTGATGCCCAATTCTGATTTGTTGCCTATATCAGGTTTTTTTTACCGTCCGTTTACACGTTCTTTAAATTGTGACCCATATCCGAGTCATGTGTTTACACTTGACTGAAACATCGCGCATGTTTAAAGGGGTCTTCTTGCTCAGATGGACGAACGCGCAGCGAGATCTCAGGACTGGTGGGAACATACAACACAAAAGTATTCACTCAGGAAAGTGAATATAGCACGAATTTTATAGTATAGTATATTTTATAGTACGAATTTATAGCTACGACAAAAATAGTTTTTGCTTGCATATGATACGCACTGTAAACGTGCGCAATGAACGCCATAAAGTGCGTATCATGCAAGAAAACACTATTTTTGGCGTAAATGGCACGTGAAAAATAAAATTGTGCAATATACACACTTTGATGAGATTGTGGTGGGCTTTAACGAGGAGCAGTGGGTCTGGAATTGTAGGATGAGCAAGCCAACCTTTGATATGTTGTGTCAACGTGTGTCCACATTCCTCTCCTACGACGAGTCGGGCCATCCGTCCATCCGCAGATGCGTCGGGGTTTCTCTCGTCATTAAACCGGAGACGTGGCCCAATGCCTCGGAAAATCCGATCGGCCTGTTTACATGACAGTCGCATTGGCACATATCCGATTTACATCTGATTTATTTCCACACATGAACGAGGCCTGAAACCGATCTCGAAATATCCGAATGCATGCGTTTTTTCCTGTTTACACTGTCATAGAACACATCCGATCTGTGTCACATACGAGTAAATGATCGGAATTGGGTCACATTTCACTGACAGTGTAAACGAGGCCTAATAGAATGTTTGTTCAACGTTATCTGGTCTTTAATAATGTTCTCAAAAGGTTGGCACAAAACATTATACATTGTTTGTTGTTATTTGATGAATGTTCTCAAAATGTTGGCAGAAAACATTCTTTGAACGTCCTTTAGACATTGAGGATCACTAACTTAACAGTTGATGGACCCCATTGACTTCCACAGCATTTTCTTTCTTTATTATGGAAGTCAGTGGGGTCCATCGACTCTTTGGTTACCCATATTCTTCACTCTATCTTCTTTTGTGTTCAGCAGAAGAAAGAAATACAGGTTTAGAACATCTTGGGGGATTCTCACTGCGTCATTAGTAAATCCTGACAGTATATATAAATATTATATATTAAATATTAAGATTTTACTTTTTAACATTCATTAACACTTGTTTATTTCATTAGTGGGGTGTATTCCTAAACTGAAGCACAACCTCTTACCTCTTATTATTATACCTATTATACTTTGTATTTACGAAATAAAATAGGCGTGTTAGAGTTTGTCTTTTGACCCATGGCATCAATTAAAATTTGTATTATACGTTTGGGTAGAATTAGTGGTGTGGGGTGTGTGTGTATTACACGCAAATGAACTGCGTATCAAATGCACGCGAAAACTGTGTATCATATGCACGTAAAAACTCATTTTCGCGTATAGATTGCACGATAATACACAATGCGTGCTATAGAGACGCATTTACGTGAGAACAGGCTGAGTAAACTCATATTTAGGTACATATAACAAACGTCTTCTTGTTCATTTGAAACAAAATTGACCCAAGTTGGATTTACTTAAAAAGTGTCTTGCAAAAATGGTGCATGTATATTTTAAGTAAATTCAACACATCATTTTTTACCCAGTGTAGAGTTATGTAAGTCCCAGTAACAAGATAACGTACCACTAAAGGTACAATTTGTGTACATTTTTAATTATTGACATTGAAGGATAATTGTTAGCTCACAAACAACTAATCAATGAAAAAAAAAGTGCAATTTGATGATAATGTGGTGCTTGGGCAATTGCCTTATCATCTGTTGTCACTAATTTGTAAATGTGAATGTGTGATGTCAAGTAACCTGTCTAAAACTGGTACATTTATAATGTAATACAGGCGAAACTCGAAAAATTAGAATATGGTGCAAAAGTTCATTTATTTCAGTAATTCAACTTAAAAGCTGAAACTAATATATTATATAGACTCATTACATGCAAAGTGAGATATTTCAAGCCTTTATTTGTTATAATTTTGATGATTAAGGCTTATGAAACCCCCAAATTCAAAATTAGAATATTGTGAAAAGCTGTAAGCCATAATCATCTAAATTATTAGAAATAAAGGCTTGAAATATCTCATTAGTTTCACCTTTTAAGTTGAATTACTGAAATAAATGAACTTTTGCACGATATTCTAATTTTTCGAGTTTCACCTGTATTCTGTATTATTACAAATATTTTCTTGACCCATAGACTAATTGATAACACAGTGTGACTTGTAATTTTAAATAATCTAATGATAAATGTATGTGGAATTCTAATTTGGAAATGCTAAATTACTTAAGCAGCAAATTGGTGCGAATACCTCATATTTCTTAATCTTGAATACTTCGGTAGGGTTCCTCTTCCTGTAGAAATAGACACTGTCGAATGGATTTTTACCCGTGCTGTAACTACAGTCCAGCTGCAGCACCTGTGAGGGGAGATTTACAATAGTACAGTGCCTTAAATCTGGTGAAATAAAGCATAAAAGTCCAATGGGAAAGTAAGTTTTGAACATAACGTACACAAACGATGAAATCCTTCTTTTCCAAGAACACAGTTGGGTGAAGTTTGTTCCATTCGTCCACCGCTTCATTCCACTCATCCTGTATTAGGTATTAAAGTCAAACAAAGTAGAAGCATTTTCCCAGAAGAGATGCACATGCCCCTAAACAGTAAATGACAACCCTTAACAATTGCCTTGTTTTAAATGTTTATTTACTTATGTAGTAAACGTTTAAAATGTAAATGCTTCTTATTACTTTTTTAAATGAAAGTGCACATTTCAATTGATTGTAAAGTTTGACATTATAAAAAGGCAGATCAGATGCAAGGCATTGGTTGTTAGTGGAGGTGATGAAGTGATGTGAAACTGCTGCAGTCGAGACCAGAACCACACTGTACAATCTAATCAGTTAGACTTACTTCAAGAAAAGCATGCAAATGGATTGCCTTAAGGAAACGAAGTTAAGTGAAATAGGAATAGTTTGTTGAACTGACAAATGCTTAGTTAGTATAGTTCACTTACACAAGAGTTCTAGTAACTAAAAAATAACTGAGAGCACTTGATCATTTACTTTAGATTTACTCTCAACTTAGTATAGCTACCATTGCTGTTACCACTGGTTTGCATGTTGAATGTTGAATACATATGACATAATAGTATAGCAATAAAAATGTAAAAGATCATTATTCGACTAGTTAGTAATTTAGTTAGTCACCTTTTAAAAGCAACCTATTTATTAGTTATATGTTAGCCGTGACACCAACGCTCAGAGGCGTGTGTCACAAAAAGTAGTTATTTTCAGTGAAGCCTTGTATCGATGCTTGATTCGTTTTATCAAAATCACGTGCGCTTCGTTTCACACACACCCACCTGACTGCTTCCGGGAACTATGAAAAGGTTCCTCCGGTGCGAAAGCCCCTTCTGATTCAAAGATGCAAACATGTGCGCGCCCTCGTGGGTTTGTAAGGTGTATTGCCTAGCATTGAACTAGCATTAGTATTGCGAGAGTTTAGGAGAGTTTCTTGTTTCTGGGAGTATGCAATGGTTCAGATTGTTGTCATGTATTTATTGTTTCATTAATTTATTAATCTATCCATTCATTCATTTTTGCTTCTAAGATTAATGTCCTCATTGAGCTGATTTGAAAAGCTTCAAATAAATTAACCTTTTTCTAATACAATTGTGTTGAAAGCTTCACTTCACAATCACTACTATTTATTACTTTCCTTCAATTGAAACCAAATAACTGATTTTTGGCAGGATCAATATGAAGAGAATTACAATAATATAAATGAAGTTTCAAGTGGCCAACCAAAGGGAACACTGATCACCATAATAGTGAATTCAAACAAAAAATTTTTTGGAAAATCAACATCAATTTATGAAATCAGCTTATGTGATGTTCTCTCCAAATTTTCAGTTATATTGACAACTCAACATTCAAGATGACTTAGAGAAATGGGTGAATGCAACTAGAGAAAGAGAACTGCAGAAGTGGAGGAAATGAGTGATACGTCTATTGCCCCGCCTCAAAACATCCAGACAAACAGGCTTGACAAAATGGCACTCAATTCATCTTAACTTGGGTTTTATGAGTAAAAAGGAATAGTATGTGAACATTACAGATTACTAGATTTTTACAATTAAGTTAACACATTAAGTAAAGTTAACTAAAAAGTTAGTTAGAACAACTGTTGGATCGCATGTGCGCACCGTACACACACTCTACACACTCTTTTACAGAGTAATTGTGGGAAGCACTGATGTCAGACAATTCTTACACTGCAAAATAAGTATCTCTTCATTTTCTGGTAAAAGTATTTAAACTTTCTAAAATAGATGATTATTATTTTCATAGGCAAAACAAATGTGTCAAGAATTTTCGAGTTTTGGCTTGAAGAAACGAATCACTGTCTTGTTCTTACTCTACAATATGCACCGTTTTAGATTCCACTAATTTAACATTATCTATTTATTGTAAATAGGATTATTGTAAATAAGTCAATATACCATTAGAACTTAATTTAGCTTAATTATGCTGTAAAAATTATTTAAATAGCTGGTCCAGTTTACCAGTTGCAGTTTTCTGATCAAATCATTCAAGAGACATCTGATCAAATCAGACAATGGCTAAAGGCCACTGTAAAAAAACAAAACAAAAAAACCCTGCTTAAAAGTGAGCAGTGTTCAACGCAATCAAACACAATTTATTATTTGAAATGGTTTTGCTAAGAGAGAATTTGTCAGGGAAATAAATGTTGCATTTACATGTCCATATTACCTTCCATTAATGCAACTGATTCGTGGTCTAAAATTTGTTAATTAATCGTGCAATGTCATTAATTGATGCATCATTTTCCTGAGCTCTCTTTTACCTGTAAGAGCTGTTTGTTGTTGAATTCAGCTTCTGTTATTCTGGTCTCTCCCACACACTTTGGCAGGCGGCGTCTCACAACGTCCTCAAGTTTCTTTCTGGCCCCTTCCAGCTCGACATCAGTGGAGTACAAGATCTCCTCAAAGATGTGATCTGATGGAGAACATCTTAGATTGAACTTTTAATCTGTCTATTAATGAAGAATGCTTTAAAAGTTGACAACAACCAAGTGGAAATCACAAGAGTAAGTATACCAAATGATCAAGAACAACCTTACTTTGCCTCATCTGAACCCTGCTTATGTTCTAAACCTACTGTACCTGTGAGTTTGGACAATTTAGCCAGCCTCTCGTCGTCAGATGCTATCTTCCGCTTCTGTGAGCCACTTGCCCTCTTCTTCTGGCCATCGTCTGGTGAAGGGCAGTCCGTAAACGGTGAGATCTTGGTGAGCTTGTCTTGAGCTGCAGTGAGGGCTTCTGTGATTCTAATGAACAAATACACATTTATGAACCAATAAAAAAACTATAAACAACAAAAGAACATGACGAGAAATGAGTTAAAACAGTAAACCCCACTTTTCTTCAATGATTTTGGCGATCTTGTGCTGGTATGCCTGGCTGTACAGAGCGTACTGGGTTTTAAACATGTCATAAACACTATCTGCCACCTGTGAGAGGAACAATGGACACAAGAACAGACTGACGCATTAACACTGTTAAATACAATTCACTCAATACTGAATGATCTTTCTATTGTGTTCTGTCATTGACATTACTAAAGAAATTATCGGAATCTTGAGATGTCTTTTTCATTACTTCACAATACGAGGATGAATATTTATCTTGCCAGTTTCCATTTGATTTATTTGGCTAAAGAGAAATTATTTCAACTACAATTAAAAAATAAACAAAGATTGATCACTCACATATCTCTAATGTGTTATATAAATGGATTTTCACAACTAAAGTCAACATTATGTTGTTTTATCAAAACAGACTGAAAGTAATCGTACGAGTAGTAAATGATACCTTGTCCCTGAAGCAGATGTGCTTTCTCCCGTTCAGCTCACACACTCGAGCAGATTTCAGCAGACGCTGATGGTCAAAGCTGTTTGGGATGCCGAGGTGATGACAGTCTCTGTGAGTAGGAGAGGATTTAAAGGTATTCTCAGTACTGTATTGGTTTGTGCAGACTAAAATGGCACCTAGAGTAACACATAACTGTGGATGTAGCAGCATCTTTGGTTACTTAGCACGTTCAGGTAATCAACCAATCAGCACAAGAGGAAGCCAGTATACAAATAGCCTTCCCTCACCTCTGTCCCATGACAGTTTCACAGCATCCCTCCACCACCCCATCACCTCACTCTCGGCTGGTTTCTATCCCAGTAAAGGATAGGGAGTACTCTGGGTTCGGGCCAAATTTCGAGCTCGGAGCCCTCTCCGGGACAGCACTCCAAATACGCATAAATTACTACATCCGATTTCATGTACGTGTCAACTCGTGAAATGCCATTGTAGAAATGCTCCATTCAGCCATGATGCACAAATGAAAGTGTCTGAAAATGAGGGGTAACTGAAATAGACTAGCATTCAGCTGAACATGATCAGAAACCTATCTGGCCCAAACTTTTTCAACAGTGGAAAAACTGAAAAAAATATCATATTTACAGCCAAATTGTATATTTTCCTTCCATATACACTCACCTAAAGGATTATTAGGAACACCTGTTCAATTTCTCATTAATGCAATTATCTAATCAACCAATCACATGGCAGTTGCTTCAATGCATTTAGGGGTGTGGTCCTGGTCAAGACAATCTCCTGAACTCCAAACTGAATGTCAGAATGGGAAAGAAAGGTGATTTAAGCAATTTTGAGCGTGGCATGGTTGTTGGTGCCAGACGGGCCGGTCTGAGTATTTCACAATCTGCTCAGTTACTGGGATTTTCACGCACAACCATTTCTAGGGTTTACAAAGAATGGTGTGAAAAGGGAAAAACATCCAGTATGCGGCAGTCCTGTGGGCGAAAATACCTTGTTGATGCTAGAGGTCAGAGGAGAATGGGCCGACTGATTCAAGCTGATAGAAGAGCAACTTTGACTGAAATAACCACTCGTTACAACCGAGGTATGCAGCAAAGCATTTGTGAAGCCACAACACGCACAACCTTGAGGCGGATGGGCTACAACAGCAGAAGACCCCACCGGGTACCACTCATCTCCACTACAAATAGGAAAAAGAGGCTACAATTTGCAAGAGCTCACCAAAATTGGACAGTTGAAGACTAGAAAAATGTTGCCTGGTCTGATGAGTCTCGATTACTGTTGAGACATTCAGATGTTAGAGTCAGAATTTGGCGTAAACAGATTGAGAACATGGATCCATCATGCCTTGTTACCACTGTGCAGGCTGGTGGTGGTGGTGTAATGGTGTGGGGGATGTTTTCTTGGCACACTTTAGGCCCCTTAGTGCCAATTGGGCATCGTTTAAATGCCACGGCCTACCTGAGCATTGTTTCTGACCATGTCCATCCCTTTATGGCCACCATGTACCCATCCTCTGATGGCTACTTCCAGCAGGATAATGCACCATGTCACAAAGCTCGAATCATTTCAAATTGGTTTCTTGAACATGACAATGAGTTCACTGTACTAAAATGGCCCCCACAGTCACCAGATCTCAACCCAATAGAGCATCTTTGGGATGTGGTGGAACGGAAGCTCCGTGCCCTGGATGTGCATCCCACAAATCTCCATCAACTGCAAGATGCTATCCTATCAATATGGGCCAACATTTATAAAGAATGCTTTCAGCACCATGTTGAATCAATGCCACGTGGAATTAAGGCAGTTCTGAAGGCGAAAGGAGGTCAAACACAGTATTAGTATGGTGTTCCTAATAATCCTTTAGGTGAGTGTATTTACCTATATTTTTAACTACATTAAAAGTAAATCTTTTGATAATGTTCATCAATAAGTCATTGAAATTAGTATATGTGAAAACGTATATAAATCTAAAATACATCACAATTTAAAACTGACCATTTAAGCATTTTTTTTTTTACCTAAACCTTTTAGTAAATTTTATCTAAATGTAAAATAGAATCATTTTAAAATGTTATATTTTTACCTTGCAAAATAGTCCCATCTGTGCACATCAATGCCATTCCAATTATTGATCACAATCTCATACAGGAAAGCCTTGTCCTGAGTCCTGCCCTTCGCTGGCCACTGAAATAAAGAAAATAACTTCAATCCTCAAAGAAAAACGGTATAACATGACGGGCATTAACTGAAATGGCAATTGACAGGTTTTTGTACCTTTTCATTTGAAGTAAAAACCCCATCGATCAACTCCTTAATAAAGGTGAGATCTTCATTGTTCAGTAGTAGTTTTTCCTTCAGTTCCTCATTCTTTAATATGTCCTTAAGCATCAAGAATGATGCCTCCTAATTTAATTTAAAAAAACATATTGTAAATCTTAGAAATAATGCCCTGTGGTTTTACTACTGAAATACCCCAACCTTGTACATTTTGCATGTCTACCTAATCAAACACACCTGATTAAACTCATCAGTTTATTAGTATAGAGACTTGTAGACCTGAAATGGCTGTCAGGGGAGAGAGACGTCCAAAATGTGTACGGTTGGGGATACTTCGGGACCAGGGTTGGAGCAAACTGTACATACATTCACAAATGTATAATTGTATAAGATTCACAAGAAGAGGCTGAGCATCTAAAATCAGACCTAAAATTGATCGGTGACCTGTTTTCTGTTATTGATGATTACCACAGAAAGTAGCCTAATAATGAATTGAAACAGATTAGGACAAAATGTATAACAGAATGACAAAGCTGTTGCCGATATAATAAGTTAATGATGACTAGGGCGTTCAAGCTAGATTTTCAAGGCAAGAACTTCCATGAATATTATCCTACTGTTCCTTTGACAAAGTTCTCATATGTCTTCAGAAGACTTGTAATATAGTCTATGTCAAATGGACTATTTATATGTAGTGGGAGAGAGAGGGGAATGGGATCAGGAAAAGATTACGAGTCAGGACTCAAAATCTGGTACTCTGAAGTGAAACGTGATAGGTGTCAGAAAGCTGCCCTCAAGATATCAGCTCTAGCACAACAACAGAATTTAAGTGCTTTATCATAAAAACAAGCTTCACATTTCTACTTTTAAACTCTTGTGCACTTGCACTACAATTAATAAATGAATTATCATCTGTGGTAATCAACAGCATGTCACAGCAGAAGACCTACCTAATTTCTGGAGTCTTTTATTCTTACTAGGTGGTAGACACTCCAAAATTCCCAGTGTTAAATCAACACTGCTCAGAGGACGTATGGTCCCACTCTACAGAGTGTTAAAGTAACACTGAAGCAGTGTTGAAGTTAATGAGATAATTAAGAGATTCATTAAGTTATGACTGAACATTGGTGATGAACACCTGCTGTTAACAAGCAGAATCACTGAAGAAAAGAGAAACACAAGAGGCTTGTTGGACTTCATGCAGCGCTGCTCAGACCGATTGGAGGCTGACTTGAAGCAGTGCATGCTGGTTAGAAATTGTGTCCGACTTGATACAGCGCCGACGCCCTGTGACGTGTGGCATCAAAGTACTAGACACGAAGTACTCAAAGTATTCTTTTTGAGAATTAATTTTAAAATACATTCTTTAGACACACACAGACATCAAGAATCAGCATATGAATCTCAACAAAGGTGACATGCTTCATGCCGCAATGCATGCTGGGACCCACTATAGTGTAAAACTCATGGCTCCCAGCATGCATTGTGACATTAAGCATGTCACCTTTGTTGAGATATATGCAATCTAAATCTTCATGTCTGTGCAGGAAAAAAAACATTTTTTTAGACACACAATGTATTTAAAAATCTAAATTCATAATGTCTGATCTATGGCAAGATAGTATTGTTGGTGAAAATAATCAGATTATCTGATTATCATATGTGAATCCAAGGCCTAATAGGATTGTTTGTGTTTAGTAAGTTAATTTGATCCACACGTGTCAAGCTCCACTCCTGGAGGGCCACTGTCCTGCAAGGTTTAGCTCCAACCAGCTCCAAAACACCTGCCTGGGAGTTTCTAAATACAAAGTACGCAAACTTCAGACATGCGTCCTTGGTAGTTCGGAATTGCCAAGTTCGACTCAGGAGAGCGAACTGCAGAGGACTGGAGGACTCAAGGCCAGTAATTCTGCACATGGAACAGCAGAGTTCTTGATATCGACACTCGGCTCGCTCTGGCTACTCCGGTTATCTCTGTAAGTATATTTTAGGCTTACCGTTTTGAATCAAGGTACGGCAAGCAGAGAGTTTTGAACACTGGCTGGTTATGTACTTGCTCAAAAATTTATTTTGGATAATTTTTAACCCAAAAAAGAGACGGACTGCAGCTTTAACAAAAAGAGACAGGGTTGTGTCATTTTATTTTATTATACATGTACATACAGTGAAGAGAATGTACATGTATAATAAAATAAATATAATATTTTGTATATTTTTAAATATACATATTTAAAATATATTAAAAAAATGACACACCCGTCTCTTTTTGTTAAATGTCCATTGTAATGATCAATAATAGCCAATATAAAAGTAGCCTAAAAGGAATAAGAAGCTATACAATAAGAAATAAAGCAAACAATTCAGTCAAACATAAGTCAGCTCTCTAGTAGGTTACAACATTAAAGCTAAATGATGTTTTATTAACAAAGTTCGGGAGGAGCACGTTCAGATAATTAAACCTAATTAAACACATGTGGAGCACATTTGGATAATCAAACCTAATTAGACAAGAGTGGTGCTTAATAAACGAGTTAAGCGCTGTGTATATATACAGCAAACTAACCTCCGTTCATTGACAGTTTAACAGCATTTGGCCCCGCAGTACCTTCCTAACATGTCCGAATCGAGCTCTTCCCGTTTGATGAAGAATCTTTCGTCCTTCAGGATTAGGAATCTTTGCCACAATCCTCTGGTATTATCTCGTGGGCGTCAGGCCAAACAAACGGGTCCTCGCCACCGCGGGCGAAACATCAGCAATCTACTTCCGCGTATTTCTTTAAACTGGACCATTCAATAATTCCTGCCATAGAGAAATGGTCATAAGGCAATGCCGCCCTCTTAATTCGAAGGAACGGGTCTTCCTCCAGCGCCAGGCCGCCGCAGCAGACCCTAAGTAAGCCGCGCTGCAGATTCAGTCCCGGTCAGTCCACACTCAACATCTGCCGGGTCAACTCTGTGAGTGCTCAGCTCAAAACCTTTTCGTTTTCTGTCCCTAATTGAACTTCGTATCACTTCAGTTGTTGAATCACGAGCAAGTTATGCTATCTGGATACTAATTTTGATCGGGGGAACAAGCGTTTTAAATAGTTTCCGTACAAATGATTTGCTGTTCATTAACGCGATGCTTATTCCTTTTGGTAAACTCACACGTAAACAATAGGTCGCACATTACGTGCAGATTGCACTCAGAATCATTAAGAACCTTTCGTTAACACTGTCCTGGAATTTATTTACAAAAATCGCTTAGAAACTTAAAGTTATAGCATAAATGTATTTTTATTTTTTTGAAGTAGGTAGGCTAGTTTAAAGCCACAGTTTCACTATTGGTTTTTCTGATTCAGAACGAACAAATCGGCAGGGAATATGACCCATAGAAATGATCAAAATAAACGAAATAAACTGAGAAAATAAGAACATTTTCGTACGTTTAATAATCGATCTCACAGCCCCGCACAGTTTCTGCTGAGCTCGGGATTCCAATTGCACAGGTTAAAACCATGGGTTCAGCCTCGTCCATTTGAATTCTGGGCATTAACTTGGATACAGTTGTTTTCCAGGCCTCACTGCACAAGAAAAAATCGATAGGATATTTTTGATCTCGTCCACCTTCCCACTGTTCTAAAACGCGAACTGCTATCTTTGCTCGGCCACTTAAACTTCAGATGCGCATAATCCTGCAAGGATTTAATCTCTCACCTCCTCTTCGCGTTTTTGATTAACGCGCAAGAAGACGAGCATCGGCCCACCAGGCCCCAACCTACTCCTCCCTTTGCTCAGCCTCACACCAGAGGAACTCAATTTGTCCAGGTAAATTTCTCCACTGCCGCAGCAGTGATGTCTTCTCCGCTCCCGCAGGAGCTCATTTCTCCAGGTAAGTTTTCTGCTCCCGCAGGAGCTCTGTTTCTCTGGACACAAGTTTGACCCATGCTTTTTTGCTTAAAGTTGAAGACCCAACTTTGTGTATGTTTTGTAAAATTCCCTTATCTGTCAAACATGTTTTATTAGATTGTTCTGGCCTTAACGCAAGCAGAATGCTCTTTTATGAAGTTTCTTCATTGAAGGACATATTTAATGAGATTATGCCTGAAAAGGTTTTGGATTTTTTATCATGTTAATTTAAATATATATATTATATAATATGACTTGTTGTTTATATTTGCTTTGTTTTTATTGTATTTATATGATATTTGTATTTTTGTGATTTAATTTTTGCCATGAAAATAGCTCTGAATGCCGACATGGCATTAAATAAAATAATCTGATCTGTTTCTCTGGCTATTTTCTCCACTGCCGCAGCAGTGATGTCTCCTCTGCTCCCGCAGGAGCTCTTTTTTTCTCCAGGTAAGTTTCTCCACTGCCACAGTAGTGACGTCTCCTCTGCTCCCGCAGGAGCTCTTTTTTTCTCCAGGTAAGTTTCTCCACTGCCACAGTAGTGACGTCTCATCTGCTCCCGCAGGAGCTCCGTTTCCCTGGCTATTTTCTCCACTGCCGCAGCAGTGATGTCTCCTCTGCTCCCGCAGGAGCTCTGTTTCTCTGGCTATTTTCTCCACTGCCGCAGCAGTGATGTCTCCTCTGCTCCCGCAGGAGCTCTGTTTCTCTCGCTATTTTTTCCACTGCCGCAGCAGTGATGTCTCCTCTCCAGTACCTCACTATTCAGAATTAATATTCCTGTTAAAACCCCTACGTGATGCCTCTTTCTCTGTCCAGCGAGCATTGGTCTCCCAGAGGACGTTGCATGCTTCTATGTTTCCTCTTTCTCCGTCCAGCGAGCATTGGTCTCCCAGCAGACGTTGCATGCATCTATGTTTCCTCTTTCTCTGTCCAGCGAGCATTGGTCTCCCAGCGGACGTCGCATGCATCTATGTTTCCTCTTTCTCTGTCCAGCGAGCATTGGTCTCCCAGCGGACGTCGCATGCATCTATGTTTCCTCTTTCTCTGTCCAGCGAGCATTGGTCTCCCAGCGGACGTTGCATACATCTATGTTTCCTCTTTCTCTGTCCAGCGAGCATTGGTCTCCCAGCAGACGTCGCATTCATCTATGTTTCCTCTTTCCCATCCAGCAGGTATTGATTTCCCAGCAGACACAGCAAGAAATCTCCCGGCCGGGCTTCCAAAATTTGTCACTC